GTGAGCTTGAGCGTCGGTGGGGACATGATAAGTCAAATTCAAAAGTGAACGTGTTGGAGCCTGTGTTGGAGCTGGGTCTTGGTGGCTTATGGCCCAGAGATGGCGCGTCATCGAGGTCGCACATTGGATCTTTGCAGTGGATATGATTGGCCGAGAGATCGCGCTTTGATTGAAATGAGTCAATCCAACAACCCGCGGGCTCTATCAATGGCATGCACTGTTGACTCTGGAACAGCACCGAAATCCAAGAGCCCATCGATGGCCCCAGGGATGGTGTCCTTGGGCATTAGGTGTTCGGCACTGTTCCATGAGCAGAGGACTCGTTATTAACGGTGGCCCATATTCACCCGATGTGACTGCACCATGTTCCTTAAGGCTTAACGCAAGTTTGCGTTGCCATCGTGATACTACGGCTGCCTTCCCGGCAGCAGCGCGGTATTGGTAGGAATGACACGAAGCATTGATGCTTGTGTGCGCTCTCAGGACGGAAAGACGAAATAAGTGTATGGATTCATGGACACTCCTAGTAAGAACATTAATCCACATACATATATTGCCTACCCAGTACAATTCTTGCGACCATTCGTACTGTACCTATGGCATTAAAAAACATAAATGTCTACCGGGGCTCGAAGCTGTGACCAGCCCAACCCTAACGCCAATGATCGCTCGATGATCGGACACCGACGCTCGTGCTTGGACAAACTAGACGCAATGCGTTATTGTGCGTGGGTACTGTGCAATTCTATTGTGCTCTCCGTCCCGTCCTTGAGCCGAGTCGACGCCAGCAACGTCGATGCCCTCTCTATTGCGCGTATCACACAGCAGGCGGCTATAAGTGCATTTACACTAGCACCTCCTGAAACGCGTCTGTCCCGCTCGTGAGCATGACGACGCCGGCATAACGCCAGCAGCGCATCGGCGTGCGGGACGATACTCGCCATGCATGATTTTCCTCTCCATCGTCCGATACAAAATACAAGTTTATTACGTGGCGTCTCGTCAACGCGCATGGCCGTTCTCATGGATGGTTTTTGTACCATGCCTGGACCTTGGGCAGAGCGGCGACGGCGTCTGCGATCTCATTCCAGCGCGGGTATGCGCCGCAGAGCGTCGTGGGAATATCGGCCAACTCCCCGGACCGCACGATCATGCGTACGACAAACAGCTCCATGTCGGCGAGCGAGAGCGTCTCACCCAAGAGGTACGGGCCCTTGGCAGTAGCTGCAACGAGCCGCGCCTCGACGCATGCAAACAAGGTTGGGAGCGTGTCCGCAGTGAGCTCTTTTGCAATCGCGAGCCTCTTCGCCGCATCCAACTCAAAATAGTATGGACGGAGTTTGGCAGTAATGTCGTCGGACGCGGCAAGGATCTCGTCGACGCGGTAGGCACTGAGCGGGTCCGACGTCGGGTA